CCGGCTGCCTCGCGGGCCAGGGCACRCAGAGATCACGGCCATCAAGGATGCCGCAGTCACAGCGAGCTCGGCACTTCCGGACAGTTCGACTTTTGGAGTTTAAGACTTCACTCAAAACATTTTTTTTTTTTTTTAGAGACAATTCCGCAGCAGTTGGTGCTTCATGCGGCTGCTGCGAGTGAGGCAGCAGCAGAGGATCCAGAGGGAACCAACTCTCTAAATCTCACAGTACATCACTTTATTAATTGCTTTTAAAAAATTTAATTCTGTACGGCGATCAAAATGTTTTAGAGAGAGCTTTCAGTGCTGGGGAAAACCTGCCAGAATCTGAGCCAGGGATGCTGATTATCAGGGGCTCCTGCTCAGCTCTGAGACACTTCGTAATGTTAAATTCCTTTCTCTCATCACTTAACGGAGCTACTACTCATTGTGGCTCTCGGTGTAACATGGCAAAATTTAGGGTTTATGCCATAATTATATTTATTATTTCAGTGTACAGAGAGTACCCACGCTGATCTTTTAACTGCTCATTGCTGCACCAAAGCACTGGAGTGAAATATTTTGGAAAGCCTTGGAATTATAAACTCAGTTTCTGACTTCACAATTTTACTATTTTCTCCTGTAGGAGTTACTCAGGAGGCTTTTAAACCTCCCAGTGAAGTCTTTTTGGCACTGCCCCAGAGGATGGTGAGCACATCCTCAGGCACCAAATGCTACATCCATTCCACCCTAAAATATTAAAATATTTTAAAAATAAAGTATCCTTCTCTTTTGTCAGGATAATCTTTAACTGAGTAAATAAAACCACAAAAGGGAAATAAAGATAAATCCTGGGCAAGGCAACAAAAGAAAGCTTTGTGATGGGGTAGATTTAGGTCTGCATTAAAAGGCAACTTCTTTAGATCTTTGGCATTCAAGGGACTCTGGTTTTATTTACCGAGGGATCAGTGCTGGGAATCCGGGAATCGGCAGCAATTGAAGCCTGAAGCAGCATTGCTTCATGGCTGCTGGGGGTGTCTATAGAAACAGATGGAAAAGGAAAAAGGGGAAAAAAGGCAAATATGGAATGATGTTCAAAGATATCCAACCTGAGATGTTCTCATTCTGAGCTTCACTGGAAACCTGGGCTGGGCAAGTAGTACTGGGATTGTGCAGCTGAGGTCTGGAATGGGATCACTTCCTAACCCTGGTGCTCCAAGCCCTGAAATTCCTTATATTCTGGCACCTAAAGAAAAGCTGTCTGACTGTTCCAGGTGTTTAAGCCCATTCCATTTCCTCTCAGCACCTCTGGAATTCTCACTCCTAATAAAGTGCTGTGCTTTAAATCAACAAACCCCTGGGAGCTGAGAAGCATCACCCTCCTCTGCAGATCATATCCCTAATTTCCGTTGTTTTCCTGCCTGAATATCATCCCAGGAATGCGAGGGAGTTGTTGGTAAAATGGCCCAGCATTGATTTTTAGAATTTGACTCCAGGATCCCAGCATGGGAAGGATGTGGAGCTGCTGGAGAGAGCCCAGAGGAGGCAGCAGGATGGTCAGAGGGATGGAGCAGCTGTGCTGGGAGGAAAGGCTGGGAGAGCTGGGATTGTTCAGCCTGGACAGGAAAAGCTTTGGGCTGAGCTCATTGTGGCCTTGCAGGGCCTGAAGGAGCCCACAGGAACCATGGAGAGAGACAATTTCCAAGGGCTGCAGGGACAGGAGCCAGGGAATGGCTTCCCAGTGCCAGAGGGCAGGGCCAGATGAGATATTGGGCAGGAATTTTTCCCTGGGAGGGTGGGCAGGCCCTGGCACAGGGTGCCCAGAGAAGCTGTRGCTGCCCCTGGATCCCTTTGAGTGCCCAAGGCCAGGCTGGACATTGGGGCTTTGAGCATCATTCCTAAATCCCTTCCAACTTTGCCTTGCTGTGCTTCCACCCCGAGCTGGTAGCATGGATGGCCTGGTGAAATCTTGGGAAAAATCCACTCTGCCAGAGGGATTTTTCCTCCCTGAGGCAGAGACGTGTGGGTGGTTCATGCTCCAGTGGTGCCCAAAGTTCTTTCACTTTGGAATCACGTCAGTCAGTGGAGGTGCTGAACCTTCCAGAGGCTCCAGAAAAGTGAGATGTTCCCATCTCTAGAACGGCAGCGACCCTGGGGATCAGGGCTCAGAGGAGCCTTTGCCCTGAATCCTGCACTGAATTCCCCACAGGGCCTGCCTGGCTTGGAATGCCCCGGGTGGGTTTTACCAGAGGGTTTGGTTTAGGCTGGAAAGGTTGCAGGAAGGTTCTGCTCCAATCCCTGCCCCAAGCAGGGCCAGCTCAGGGATCAGACCAGGCTTTGCTCAGGAAAAACCAGGATGAACGGCGGGGAACGATTTAATGCAGAAAAAGATGGCCAAGGGCAGGAGAGGATGAGTGATGGGCATTGTGGAGTGGCCTGGAGTCTGTGGGCAGCACCTGGAGCTGCAGGGAGCAGAGCCCGGGAAAAGAAGCCTGAAGCAGGAAATTGTATTGCAGCCCATGGGAAGTGAACTCCCGAAGGAACAATTGTCTCACCAGTGCTTTAATGTCTGTTTTRGGGAGAATTCCCTTGTTTTCCAAAATGCAGGGTGTCCATGGAGAATCCTGGAGTAGGGAGCAGGGAAATCCCTGAGCTCAGGCACATTGGGGTGGGGGATGCTGGTGGAAATAAATTGATCCCGATGGGTGGAGGGATGTCGTGGGATTGGGATGAGGGAGATTTAGTGCAGAAATAGCCCATCTTTTACAATATCTGTSTATTCTTTAAAACAATGAACATCAGAATACATTCATGGTACATCAGGAAATTTCTTATCAAGGGATACAGAAAAACTTTACAATCATGACACTGATGGGCTGTACACAGAAGAATGCATTAATCTTGCACTGTTTTCCTTTTTGCCATCATTTACTGCTGCAACTGATCTGCTTTTCTCWGACATTATTGACTATTTTTTAATCTGTTTATTTTTCTGGGGTTTTGAGGACCATTTTAATTTCATATCTGAAAACTAACACACTTAATCCCACAACTCCTCAGGACAGGGAGCTGCTCTGCAATGTGTGAACAGGCAGAGTATTTAAGAGATCTGCAAATGTGGGGATTTCCCCTCAGAGTCCGAGATTAAGGAGCGCATCCTTTTGGTGTTTGCAGGGAACAGCCCCGACAGCAGCAGTGTCCAAACACGGGCGATGTCAACGCCAACACCGCTCAGTTTCTCCCCTCCGGAGCATYCCCATTCCTCCTGCTTTGTCCTGTCCAGCCCTGTCGCTGACAGGGTTCTGCTGTGGGATTTGCGCTGCGGATTAATGAGCTGCAAAACTTCCCATATGTTGGAATCATCGTCCCCGCCGGCCGCGCTGGAGCCGCCGCTCGGGCACCGCCAGCTCCGGCACCTGCCCCCGCAAACACCTGATCCCGACGGATGCCGAGCTCCGGGATGGCGCTGCCCTGCCCGGCTCGGGGCTGCGGCCGGATGGGGACAATTAGGAGCACTTAGTGCGCAGATGAGGCTGCCTGAGCGGCAGCTGGTGGCCACGGCGCTCAATTAAACAGCGCGCCCGAGCCGCCGCTAATGAGGCTGGGCCAGCCCGGCCGCTCGGGGGGCGAGCGACGGTGACAGCGACACGCGAGGGGACGGACACGAGGAGAGGCAGCAACAGGTCCCGAGGGCCAGGATGAGCCTCGCCAGCTCTGCATACTCGGACTGAGGAGTGGGTTTAAGGCAGGAGAGCTGGGGGGGAGATGGCAAAAATGGAAGGATTTTTACTTTTTTTTCCTAGGGACAAATAAATATTATCCCTTGGATAAGTCAGGAGGGGTGAAGAGAGGGGAAATTTAGGAGKGAAATATGGAAATATGGAAAAATTCTTCTCTGTGGAGGTTTGGCACTGCATGCCMAGAGAAGCTGTGGCTGTCCCTGGATCCCTGGCAKTGTCCAAGGCWAGGTTGGACATTGGGGCTGGGAGCAGCCTGGGACAGTGGAAGGTTCCTGGGATTGGAATTGGATGGTCTTAAAGATCTCTCCCAACCCAAAGCACTCCATRATTTCCTGAGTAATTCCATKGGAAAACTTCAGGAGATTTCACGTGGAGGCTTCTAAACGTTCTTATATCCAGCATTACAGTTGGACTCAATGATCTTAAMGGTCCTTCCCAGCCATCATTGTGGGGTCAAACACAAGGTGCCATGAACAGGCCTGGCGTGTCTCATCCCACTGGCCCAAACACATGAAGTTGAAATGAATTAGGAATTAAAACCAGCCTCATTCGGGGTTGAAAATTGTCATGAAGCAAAAAGAGTCAATTTGTGAYGCAACCAATTGTCAGGCTAGGTCAGCTTGGCCCTTAATCTGTCACGGTCATGACAGGTCAGAATCTCCCCTCAGCAGTGGAAAAAGCGGTGACGAAGTCTCAGTAGTAACTCCCAAAAGAGGCCTAAGCCAGTTAATTGTCCCCAACATCTTCTGCAAAGCATTCRAAGTTTTTACCTCTCTGACAATTTGAATCTTCTACAGGAGAAATTTTTGTTGCAAGATTTGCCAGCCCAGGTATTTCTGTGGTGGAATTGATTMTATTTTGAAGTACACAGCATTTGTATGTATGAGGCAATGTACAGTCACTGTTTATCTATGGCATGCTTCACCTGTGAAAAACAATCTCGCTGCTGACTGCCAAGTCCAGGCTGGCACTCAGTCCCTGGGGTGCCTGTGGGGAGAGTGGTGGCCGCATCCTGTTGGGAGTGAGGGATCTGGATCCTGTTTTACTGAGGGGCACCAGACCTCGCGCCCCTCTCAGAGTTTCCCAGCTTTGGTAGCCGATTACCGTTTTTGTCAAACTTTGACTGGCATTGATTGCTCCAATGAAACCCCTTCTGGCACCGAGGACACGGCCTGGGCGGGGTCCGCGCAGCCCCAGGTCCGGATGTTCTTTTTGGGCACTGCCGTTTGAGGTGCCCTTCCTGGCCACAACTGAAACATTTCCCAGCGGCCCGGCCCACACGGAGCTGCTGAGCAATGGCGGTGGCCAGCAGCTCGGCCTTGAACTGCTCAGTGCCCACRTCTGCACACGCCCTGATGAGATCGCTCACGCTGCTCGCCGTGCTGCGGATGGGATCCAGCACATAGCAACAGTCGGCGTTGGCGTGCTCCACTGCCAGCTCCATCAGCAGCAGCTCCGCAGCGGCGGCTGGCTTCACCTGTCGGGATATTGCGCTTTGGAGTCGCTCTATGAAGGTGGGATACAGCTCCTGGGGTCCTTGGTGGATGGTTACAAACGATGGTTCTGCTCGCTCTGCATCGGGGACCCTGCACAGTGCCTACAGAGCCAGGCTTGTTGCCTGCTCACATACCTGCCAGTCCATTYTGGTTTGTGGCACCAAAGTACCAAACTGACCCCGTCCCATCAAATGATCGGTGTAAATTGCGATGCTGTTGGGGACATTTTTCATTGCTTGCTCAGTACACAGTTCTCTMTATTCCATCATCCATACAGAGTACTGCTCCTCACTCATAACAAGCTTAAAAATAATTCTCCAATAAGCAGGAGTAATTGTGTAGAAGCTCGCAATGTGCTCTATGTAATACCTAGCAAATGGYGAGTGTATACCCTCTTCTTYTACTGACTCTCTTAAATCCTTTAARATGCCATAGGATAGTTGTTTGCGTCTGGGAGGTTGTTGGCCCCTACACACGATTTGCATTGTCTGAGAAACCTCTGCATCCCCTTCCTTAAGTGCCTTGCATTGGCCATCTTCAAGAACGGAATTGGCTGCAGCCTTCGGAGTGTCCCCATTAGCATCCGCCCCAGCCACAAACGGTGCACACGGAGGGGGAGTTGCAGAGCCTTTCCCTCCGGCCTCCTGCACCATCTGCTCTGTGCCCGTTTCAGCCGGTAACTGGTCGACTGTAGGAGACACAGCCCGAGCGGCCAGCAGGGAAGTGTGGAGAGCAGTATAGATAACCCTCCACGTGCTGACATCYTCGGGGTCCACGTTGTGCCCTGCCGCTTGCTGCCTCTGCAGGAATTCTCCCACCTTCTGCCATTCGGAAAGTTCGCACGAGTCATCGGAAAGATACCAGGGACAGYTGTCCCGTATCCAGAACAGCAACTGCCAGACTTGCCTGGGCTGAAGTTTAAAGCCTTGCTCTCTGGCAATGCGCGTTAAAAGTTCCTCTTTTCTAACGAGYATTAAAAGTTTCTCGTGCTTTTGCTGCGATTTCTGGACGTTTTGCCCCATTTTTCCTCGCGGCCGCTCACTCGGCTGACCTGTGGGATGCAGCGGTGAGAAGTGGGAGCTCGGTCGGGATCAATCCTTCGGTTGGGGCCGCGCTGCCGGCTCCGGGTCCCTCCGGCGCTKCTGCAGGTCCCGCTCGGCTCTTTGAAGGCACGGACTGATGCAAGCGAATCTGTTCCTTGCAAAGACCAACCCCCGCTTTATAGCCAAACCCGGCGTTCTAAAAAAGAACGGGTTTCAGTTCCTTTTGACCCCTCCGGCGCGCTTTGGCGGGCTCTGGCAGCGCTCTGGCCGGACAGGAAGCAGGATGCGGACAGGATGCGCAGCCGCTCCCGTTCCTGTTCGCCCGCATTCCTCACTTTCGGCTCTGCAGTGCCTCCGCACGGCCTGCGCTGAGCGGGCAGCCCTGCCTCTGACCCCGCACCATTCCATCATCTCCTGATTCCTTCCACAACTGACTTTCCTCCTTTAACCTTCCCGACACCTTTTCCTTTCCCTGGGAAAGGACTGAGAAGGGAGTGTCTTTACAGACTGATTCTGGGGGTAAGATAAGGCTGATACTGGGAGATAGAAAGAAACAATGGGAAGGATTTCCATAGGAATTCCACTGATTGACTTACCCCCGACTATGTTAATGGCCTACAAGAGCAGAGACACAGAGATGTATATTGAAAGGGAGCAATATATGATAGAAGGGGGGGTTTCATCAGGTGATTCGGGGAGCCTGAACCTCTCAATTACCTCAGCAACGGGGAAAGAGGGAACCGCGGCCGGGAAATTGGGATAAAAGAGGCTTCGTCCTCCWGCAATTTGAGAGACCCCATGGGAAATGCCCATGACCTCTCCCTTTATTCATGAATAAGGCTGCGGGACTCCTGTCTCCTTTTTGGACATGAACCTCTGGTGCTTGTGGATTAATTTTCCTAACACCTGTGTCCTCCCTGCCAGCTTGGGAGAGCTGCAGTGATAATCACAGCATAACATAAACCTCTCCCAAACGCTGACATGAAAGGCCATAAATCTCAAAAATATAATCCAAATACTTGTAATTTTTCAAATTAAATATTTTTTAATTGGTGCAAAATAGGTGTTACATTAACCCCTGGTCATTTTATAAAATAATATTTTTTTTTGGTCACTCAGCAGTTTGCAGATAGAGAAGAGATGCAGATAAGCCCAGGAAGGATTTTTTGTTTTAGTAGGGCATAAATCAGCRTTTTCCTTTGGGTGAACCTTACTGTGGAAGCTGCCGCTACTATTACAAATTTCCAAATACTGTCTTTTTATAATTTTTTATTTTATATATTTTTTTTTTAAATTTTCCTACCACTGATTGCTTCAAAATGCTTTGCAGCTGATCTATAGCTGTGAGKATTTTTGCACGTGTTGGGTACTGTATTCAAAATTCTGCAATACAGATTTTYCTGCCAGACTTTAGTTTCCCTCAGATTTTTTTTCCTTTTTAAATAGAGGATATTTTTTTATTTTTTGAATACCAGGGGCATTTTTTCCTGCGAGATCAAAGTTAAAGCTTGAATGTCCCTCTATTCATGGCTGTTAACTCTTTACATGGAAYGTTACTTCCGTGTCACTCTTTACCTGGAATGATCTCAGTGCAAATCCAAATATTTCCTCAGCACTTCAGGGGACTCTCCACTCTCGAGTATTTTTGGCTCAAAATCCCATGAGCTCTTTTGTTTGTGTGAGGGTTTTATGGGGTTGTGCCAAAAAAAGGTGACATGGGGATTTTTGCAAGCCACCTGCAGGAGCTGTTGCAAAAAGACCATCAGAGATTTTGCTTTTTATCTGGAAAATGTAATTATATAGGATAGTGTTGGAATCAAAGCCCTGGCTCAAGACTCCCTGGGGTTTAGATAATCCCAGGACAAAGTAAAGATTTTGGCCCCAACTTYAGGAGAAAATGGTGCTCCTTGACTGACCCTGTCCTACCTTTCAACCAAAGGGAGCATTTTGGGTCAAAATGGGATCAAAATAATGAAGCAACTGTGGGCAAACACTGGAAAATGTACATTGCTGACCTCTGCTTTGGAAGGAAAGGCTGTGAAAGGAAAACTCCCCTGTGGAAACTTTATCCCAACCTCCTGGGAAGGGCCCTGGAGAACACAGACAGTGATGGGAGCCTTTGGCTGGGAGGGAAGGGGCTGTTCCCTGGGCATGCCATGGGAGGAAAAAAAGCTCAAATGAGTAAACTGAGGAGGTTTTGGGATGAGAGAGATGAGCAGAGGTCCAGTGAGGAGACAAAGCAGGAAAACCTCCTGAGATGCCAGCTGGGAGTGGGGCTGGACTGAGGGGGAGCACAGGGCTGTGGCTGCTCTGCTCCCTTCTCCTGCCTTGAAAAAAAATTCTCCTCCTGCCTGGAGGAACACAGGAACATCCTCCTCCTGCCTGGAAAAAATCTTGCCTGGAGGAATACAGGAACATCTTCCTCCTGCATGGAAAAAATCTTCCTCCTGCCTTAAAAAACACAGGAACATCCTCCTCCTGCCTGGCAAAAATCCTCCTCCTGCCTTAAGAAACACAGGAACATCCTCCTCCTGCCTGGAAAAATTCCTCTTCTTACCTGGAGGAACACAGGAACATCCTCCTCCTGCCTGGAAAAAATCCTCCTTCTGCCTGGAGGAACACAAGAACATCCTCCTGCCTGGAGAAATATCCCTCTCCTGCCTGGAAAAAGTCCTCGTCTTGCCTGGAGGAACACAGGAACATCCTCCTCCTGCCTGGAAAAAATCCTCCTCTTGCCTGGAGGAACATCCCTCTCCTGCCTGGAGGAAGATTCTGCTGTGCAGAGGGCTCAGGACAGGCAGAGCCAACTAATCCAGCTCCATTCCTCATGGGAAAAAAGGCTGGAGGGGGATGAGGCACTGAATATCSTCCTGTGCCAGCACAAATCAACGTGGGTAGAAACAAACACCAGAACTACAAAGGAGCTGGGCAAAGGGCAGGAAGAGAAAGGGGAAATCGCCCTAAATCCCAGCCTCACACCCAGAGCCATGTCCTGGGTGTCCTACAGCTGCATCCCTCCAACCCACAGGGAGAAAACAGGAGTAATGGGAATTCACAGCCCAGCTCTGTGGGATGGGATCTGTTCCCAAGCTTGACCCATGGAAGCTTCCCTGGAGGTCACAGCTTTGTCACACAGATTCTCTGTCCCTGGTGGGTGGCACCTGCACAATGGGAAATGAGGAATTTTCAAGTGTCCTTATTAAAACARCCTCCCAGGCCAAAAGAAATACAATCCCAATTTATCACCCAACTGAGGGGATAATTAATGCATTTCCCTCTGCGCTTGCATGCATTTGATTTCTGTTCTTGCTCCATCATGTCCTGGTGGATCAAGTATTAAACTGAGCAAGGCCACCCTTCCAATTTAAGGAAAAAAGTGGGTGTTTGGTTAAAATCCCTTTTTGGAGGGAAGATTGAACAGTTTTTACTGTAGAGCTGTTATCACCTCAGTGGATTCCAGCCCTTTGGGAAAGGAGAGGGAAGGAGAAGAAAATTAGTATGTGCCACATATATGAGGGGGTAAAAAGGGGAAAATCAGGGTTAAATCTCCCAATGGATAAAAATCTGGTCGGTTATAGGGATAAGAATCTGGGAGATACAACAGAAGGCTGCTGCATTTCCAGAATCAGGTGCCTGTTGTGCACAAGCAATTATAGATTTATCGGCTGTGCTGATTCACACCAGGGCTGAGCAAGGAGGCAGAAAGTTTGGAAGTTATTTGGGAGAAAAAACAGGGATGGGAGAATGAATAAATGAAAAAATGAATAAAAAACTGTGTGCAAGGGCAGTGTGAAACAAACCCAGCAGAGGGGACTCCAAGGGCTCAGATGAGAGATTGGATCTGAGATAAAGCAATTCTGGGAGCTTGGTGGGATTTCCATCTGGGGATTTGGGAGCCAAGAATCTAGATTTGGGCTCAGAAATTTGGCTTGGAGCCAAAAATYGGGATTTGAGAGCTAAAATTTGGGATTTGGGAGTCAAAAATGGGGATTTGGGAGCCAAAAATGGAGGTTCCATTTTGCAGCAGAACCTTGTTAAATCCGTCCTGGGGACACTCCTGGAGTTCAGGCTTTTCCTCAATGTCATCCCCTCACACTCTCTGCCTTTCCTCAAGGGAAAATCCCTTCTGGGAAAGGTGAAAAACACATCCAGAGCTACAGAGGGAAACTGCAAAACATGAGGATTTAACCACCCCTTCCCCTTGGAGGGTTGAACATCGCCTCGTAAAAA